AAAACCTTTAACCAAGACATGAAGTGGGTGGGTCTCCATGGACATGGGCAGCCCGACTCTCTGACTTAAGGAGCTGGCCATAGCTGTCACAGCCGCTCCCAGATGCCAGCCACGCCCCCTCTCTTATTGTCTGTCTTTTTTGGCCATAGCTGAAGAAATGTCCCCACTCCACACCCCTGTGGCTTTTGCTTTCCCGGCTGGAGGAGAAGATCGGGCAGCTGACCCGAGCTAGGGCCATTTTGGAAAAGTCTCGCCTGAAGAACCCGAAGAACCCCGGGCTGTGGTGAGTCTCGTGCCAGCTCACGCTTGGGCGCGCTCGCTGGTGCTCACGGCAGCCGCTGGGCAGTGTTTCCGGTTCTGGCTTTGCAGGAAGAGTGGCAGGTCCCGCTGTGAGGAGGGTGCAGCCCAGGTGCTCAGATGTAGTTTAACTTGTCTCTCAGAGCAGGTGTCCAGGGAAGCCAGAAGCTAATGATGGGGGATCAAGGATGGAGGAAGTCACAGAGCTGCTCCATAGAAGACATGGCGTCTAGGCGAGACCTTGAGGGATGAATAGGAGTTTCTTGGGTGAGGGTGGCGTTTTGCCCACAGGAAACTGCATACAGAGGTGCAGCGCAGGGCTCAGAGCCAGGGCTGGAGCATGCGGCGGGGGCTGAAGGAGATGCCCTTGTGTTGTGCACTCGCAGCCGCCGCAACACGCCACTATCCTCCCACCCATCTTCCTGGCACCAGAGGAAGACCAAGAGTGTCAGTGCCCTGAAGAAATGCGATGTCAGGATCCCAGGCCCCGGGCAGGGCCATTGCAGTGGGCCCCACAGTGTGGCACCAGTGTCTCCCTGCTCCATGTGGCAGCATGGGCAGCTCCAGCTGCTGCAGCTCTGTGGTCGGGCTGTCTGTCCGCAGACAGGCGCTAGACCCCTCCCTCTTGGCCTGTGTCCTCAGGTTGGAGTCCGTGAGGCTGGAGTACCGTGCGGGGTTAAAGAACATCGCCAACACGCTCATGGCCAAGGCGCTGCAGGAGTGCCCCAGCTCCGGTGAGACCTGCTGGGTCCCAAGCAGGGCTGCAGGCACTTCCTGGGGTGGTGGGTCCCAAGATTCAGTGGGCTGTTCACAGTGTTTGGTTTGCATGAGTCAGTTTAGTCACAAGGTTTATTAACACGGTCATTGAGACATTGCAACTGAATTTGCTGTCGGGGGCACTCCACTTCCTGTTGTGAGGTGCTGCCACTTCTTCCTTCGCCTTTTACCATGTTACCCCCAAGTCTGTGAGGGATGCACATGCAGCATAAACGGGTTTGGAGTGAAAGGGAATGAAACAACCTCTAAGCCACTGCTCAGAGACCACTACTTTGAGCTTTTTATAAAGTAACGAAGTATGTTTAGTTTGTGTTTTTTCCATTGCTTTCCAGAGAGAGTGGAAGAGAGGGGAGGGAGAGAAACATTGATGTGAGAGAGACACATCGACTGGATTGCCTCCCGCAGGCGCCCCAACTAGGCAGGGAGCAACCCTGCAACCCAGGTACATGCCCTTGACTAGGGGTCGAACCCATGGCCCTTCGATGTTTGGGCTGACACTCTGAATCACTGAGCAGCACTGGCCAGGGCTAGCATGTTTAATTTTGTGCCTTTTTTTAAAGCTGAAACTTTTGTGAGAATTTTTCGTTATCGGTGACTCTTCAAGGGTGTAAATTATAAAATTTTGTAGATGTGACAAAAAGCACCGATCACCTGTTACTCAATTTTTAATCTGATTTTAATTCAGTATTACAACCTTTCTGTCTGAATCTTTACTAGCGTTTCTAGGTTTTATTACAATAGATTCTTGGGTGTGGAATTACTGAATCAGGAGTGAGGCCTCGTTGTTATTTCCGACCGTCATCCCCAGAAAGTTGTCCAGTCTGTGCCCTCGGAGCTGCGGGTCCCAGGCGGGCACTGGGGTGGCAGGCTCATGTGGTCTTCGCGGTGCTCCCTAAGCAGAACCCTCCTCTCAGGCAGCGGTGCTGGCTGGATGGGCATGTTTCCGAGCCAAGGTCAGAGCCTGAGGCGTGTGTCTCTGAGTTTCAGGTGTCCTGTGGTCTGAAGCCATCTTCCTGGAGGCCAGGCCCCAGAGGAAGACCAAGAGTGTCGATGCCCTGAAGAAATGCGAGCACGACCCCCATGTGCTCCTGGCCGTGGCCAAGTGAGTGGAGAGTCCCTGTGGGGCTGCTAACCTGGGGACCTGACTGCTTCCCGCCAGGGTCCACCTGGTCTCTGGAACAGGGCAGGCTCCCTGGTCCTTGGTGTCTAGACCTCAAGCACTTTTGCCTCTTGGGGTAGAGGCCCCGTGGACGTGAGCTGCCTGGATTGTCTGGTCCCCTCTGTCCAGTCCTTCAGATGGGACTTCTCCTCTGTATCTGCCACTTTGTAGCTACACATACACGTGCCCTGGGTTTCAAAACAGAGACAGACTTCGAATGTTGGTCCACACAACAAAGCCCCTCTGGCTGAAAGGGCTGTAAGCAAGGAAAGTGTCTCCCCACACCAGGGGGACAGTCGTTCCTGGGGGACCTGGGAGCCGTCGGGGCCATGGGTCCCGCTGTCAGTGCCCGGGTTGTGGAAATGCCACCTCCTTTAGGGCAAATGGTCTCTGGGCAAAAGGAGGTCAGTGACCTCACACCTTGAGCTTGTGTGTTGAGTGCTGGGTCAGGGGCTCCCTGGGGAGGTGTGAGCTGTGTGAGGCGTGGGAAGGAGCTCAGGGTCTTGGGAACACTGGGTGAGGGTGTGGCCCATGAGTGACTTGCAAGAGGACTTCCTGAGAGGAGTGGGACCTACGTGCAGGGCAGGGCTTGCGTATGGGCTGGGCTCCTGGGGCTGCTGCTCACCCGGAAGAGGTGGCACCTGGGCGGTTGAAGCCTGAGCCAGGGATGTGCCCAGCTGGCCTTAGCCCTCTTCCTCAGGTGCTGCCCAGCACCTCCTCTCACTGCTGTGGGGACAAGGGCTTCCCACAGGCTCCCGAGGCCTGTCGGAGCTACCTCCCTCCTGTTCTGTGCTTCCGCCTCCCAGAGTGACCTTTATGTGTGCCACTCAGATAGGGCAGCCATAAACCTCATAAAAGGCTTTGCTAAAGTCAACAAGTCACTCCTTGCTGTTCCCAGGCTGGTGTTCTGTGTGCCTGCTATCTGAGTTTGTGCTCTTTAAATCACAGTTTATCTAACACCAAGCAATTAAGAATACCACAAGGCTTAAAAAACAATCAAGCTATCATTGCATCAAATTACTCGTTTCGTACAGACCGGCCCCAGCAGCTGCCTGGAGTGGCGGGTTAGTGGTGCCCTCCTCTGCGTTGATGACTCTGGTGGAGAGGGAGGTGGGCCTGGGTAGAGGTGGAAGCAAGTCCTCCCATTGTCCTGTCCTCACTGATGTGCAGAGGGCTCTGTGGGCCCTCGATCTGGTTGCGGATGGTCCTCCCCCGTGGCCTGGTTCCAGGTATCTTGTCTGCTGTGCCCAGGTGCCCGTGCTCATCTGAGGTCCCCCTCCTCGGGGTTGGCTGCCTGATGGGCAGGAGCAGCCAGACCTTCCCTTCCTTCCCTAATCAAAACCTTAGTTTACATTTTTGTCAGGTTTACTTTCATCCCCTTGTATTTTATCCAGAGGAAAAGAGTGATGGGAAGGAGTTGGAAGTTCCTTACTCTGTGTGTAGGTTTTCTAAGATACAGTTTGGTTAGACACTTGGAGAACGGCTCCAGTTTTGTGACCTGCACCGGTTTCCGGGTGGCCAGGCCCTTCCTCAGCCTCCTGGGGGAGCCCAGGGCTTGCAGGGAGGACAGGTGCCACGGTGGGTCTCCGGGCTCATGCTGCACCCGCACACGGGGAGGCCGGAGCCGGCCATCGCTGGCCGCTCACCCTGGGTTCTCCCCCTTCTGCTTCCGACAGGCTGTTCTGGAGTGAGCGCAAGATCACCAAGGCCAGGGAGTGGTTCCACCGCACTGTGAAGATCGACTCCGACCTGGGGGATGCCTGGGCCCTCTTTTACAAGTTTGAGCTGCAGCACGGCACAGAGGTCTGCACCTGCACCAGGGGGCAGGGGGCAAGGGGCAGGATGCGGACAGCAGCTCTGCTGACAGCTTTTCCTCTGCAGCTGTCTCCTGGTTACAGTTCTGTAGCCTCACAGCCTGAAGTGTAGATGTTTGGGCCGTGTTAAGTGGCCTGTTAGCCTCCCTTGGTTGGTGATGGGGTCATGGTAGAAATGAGAATGGATTCCGAGCCCTGAGGATTGTCCTTGTGCCTCTGTGGGTCTGACTTCCCAGTATGGCTTCCAGGGGAGCCTGGGCTCACAGGGTGGGGTGGCCAGGCTATCTTGGGGTGCCCACGAGAAGTTGACTTTGCCTTTGAGGGAGCCAGGGGCTTGACTCTTCTGTGCATCTGGGTCAAGGCCTGCCCCGAGGTCATCTGTCTGGTGGGATGGGGTGCAGTGGGGGCTGCTCCTAGCAGGAGGGCCCTGCCCTGGTGCCAAGCAGGGCCCAGGCTGGGGCTGAGGTGCACGGTGGGATAGGTGCGGAAGAGCCTGGGAGGAGCCCTGTCTCAAGAGCCCTCTGGTCCCCCCCCAGGAGCAGCGGGAGGAGGTGAGGAGGCGCTGCGAGAACGCCGAGCCACGGCACGGGGAGCTGTGGTGCGCCGTGTCCAAGGACATCGCCAACTGGCAGAGGAAGATCGGGGAGATCCTCGTGCTGGTGGCAGCCCGCATCAAGAACACCTTTTGACTGGGTGGTCCCTCTGGGCCGGGGTCTTGGGGTTGGTGGGCCAGTGTGCCTGCCTGCCATGGGAGGACAGGGGGAGGGGCTCAAGCAGTTTCTGCTCTGGAATTAAAGTTTTTCTAGGTAGCGTGTAGGGTTGGTGACCTGCTGGTTTTCTCTGGGGCTCCTGGCGTGTGCTTCTGTGCACCAGTCTGGTCTGGAGGGCTCGTCGCTCTTGTGTGCAGGGAGGCCTCTGAGAGAGGACGGTGACTCAGCGAGACTGTGTGGGGAAGGTGGTAGGAAGTGTACCTTCACTGGTGACTCCTCTGTCCCCTCTGGAGCCTGCAGCTCCTCTAGAGGGGGGCACCAGATCACAGGTTCAAGTTGGGGTGGGGGGATGGCTTCCATGAGTCTGAGCGCACACAGCCACATCCTCAGGTGCCTCCAAGAGCCAGTGCCTGCCGAAGGGTACCTGGGAGGCCCTCGGCTGGTGTTGGAGGAAGATGTCGCCATGAGAGAGGTTCGCACATTTGCAGGTGGACTTGCTTTTGCTGCTTTATACTCAGCAGAGCTCTGAAAGCTTTTGCAGCTGTCCTCTTCTGCACGCTGACCAGGATTTGCCTGGGACACTGGCAGGTGAGGATGAAGAACCTGCTTAGGCGCTGCAGGGAGAGGCAGGTGGCTGCGCTCGCTTTCCTTCCATCTCTTCTGGACGAGGCGGGAGGTCCGCCTGGGGCCCTGCAGACAGAGTCCTGCAGCTTCTAGGAGCTCATTCGTCTCTGATGTGGGAAGCAAGGCCCAGGGAGGGACAGGGACTGGCTGTGGCCACAGGGATGTGGGTGGCCTTCTGCGCCCCAAGTGGGGCGTGTCTCCTGGGCACCTCCTCTGGCTTTGATGTCAGGTGAGGCTTCCTGCAGGGCCTTGGAAAGTTCCAGAGCATCAGGATTATCCACACGTGAATGTCTTGGGGGTTGCTTTCTCAAGTGCTTTGAGGTACATTATTTTTCTCCTTGGGAAAACACTTCAGCTTTTCTTCAGCTGACATTTTTTCAACTGCAACTTCCGGCGAGCAGGTTCCAGAGGCTGTCCCTATCCTTCGGGCCAGGCAGGGTGCTGTGGCCCAGCCAGGAGGGGCAGCAGCCGAGTGTTAGACCAGCGGGAAGTCCCACGCCAGGGACCTGCTGGGGCAGGACCCCTGGGCGTCAAGTGTGGGGCTGGCGTGGTGGGGATAAAGTCCCCCTTGCTGGTTCTGTCATGGCCAGGTTCCTGGGAGAGAGCACTGCCAACCTCAGAGGGAGACCCAGATGGGGGGGGGGGGGGCCCACTTCCTTGGCTCCCCTTCCCAACCTGGCTGTACTGCCCACTGGCACCCCACCCCCTTTGGGACAGCACATGTCTGTGGGGCTGGTGACTCAATCCAGGACCCACTGGGTGGGAAGAGAGCCCAGCACTGCTAGGTCCAGGGTCAGGTTAATTGGAGAAGCGATTGGATACGGAGTTGGGAGAGGGAGGGGGCAGGCTGGGATCCTGGGGCCTCCCTCCTCCCTCCCTCCTTTGCTGGAGGAGCCAACTTCAAAAGCCTTGTCCGCCTGCCGCCAGCCCAGCCACAGCCGCCCTGCTGCAGCCCGTCCAGGGAAGCCTTTGGCTGGGGTTGACTGGGCTTGGAGCCGGACCTGGAGAGCTTTCTGCACCCCACCTGAGGACCCCAGGATCATGTTGGAGACTCAGAGGCAGGAGTGAGGGAGGGCCTGCCCCTGAGAGGCCCATGGTGAGCAGCTTTGGGCCCCGGGAGGGGACTCACATGGCCCAAGGGCTGGGAGGTGGAAGCAGGCACCGCCCAGAAGGCTGTGTGATCCTCGGTGCCCCACCGACCCAGCCAGGACCGACTGGGAAAACCCCCCTTGGGTGGCCACGGAGCCTGGCCCTGTGTGCTCAGGCCGCAGGTGCTGGGCCGAGCCTTTCCCGGCAGTGTTGGGGGCAGGGAGTCTGCAGGGCTGGGCTGAGCCTTGGGCCCTGTGTGCGCACGTGCATGTGTGCCTGTAGGGGGGACGGGACAGGCGGGCCTTCTGAGGATCCCTGGGCAACAAACATGACCACTTGGACGTCCCTCCTCCAGTACCATCTTGTTCTGTCACCATGCAGGCAGAGGGGCGATTCTGGGTTGGCCATCCTCCTGCATGCCCCAGGGTTGAGAAGGGGCACGGCTAATTGCATCTGCTCCTCCAACAGCCAGGTGGCCCTTGCAGGAGCCCCGCAGACACCAGGCCTGGGCGCCTGCCAGGGTGCTCAGCCCAGGAGGCTGCTGCCAGGGCTGGGAAGCGGAGTCGAGTCCTGGTCTCGCTCGGTTCACTTAATTTTCCAGTCGCTGTTGGATTTCATCTTGGGGCCCGAGGGTGGGTTTGGGGGCTGGGAGCTGGAGACAAATCTTTCTTATTGATGTTTGAGTTTCGGGGGGAGGGGGCGGGGTTGGATTTCTACTCATGAGAGCTGGCCCTCCTCTCCCCCCGCCCCCCGCCATTCTGAGGAGGGAGGCCTTAAATGGAATATCTGGTGGGGCATAGTGTGGCCCCCTCCCTTCTCGTCTGGGATTTCCCCAAGCCTTACACTTCTAAAGGGGTGTGGCCATGAGTTCTGAGCCCTCACCCTGTTCTGGTTGGGTTAGGGGTGCAGGAGGACTCCCATTTCCTGGGTCAGAGCTGATTGTAGTAGCCCCTGATAGGGGTAGTTCTGCCCAGGATTCCTGTGGGGAGGGTGGGCGCACAGAGGTGAGCAGTGTGCTGGGGCATGGGGCACCCAGCAAGAGGGCCAGGCTCTGGGAGGGGGAGGGGAGGGACACCCTGCTGTACCCCGCCTAGGCCAGGCCTGCCCCACAGTCTTGTGGGCTCTGGAACCTGTCTCCTTTCCAGCCTCACCCACTCAGCGTTCAGCTGGCTTATTTTAGTACTTTTTTCTTAAATCGTGTTTTATCTTCAATTACAGGTGACACACGATTCTATTAGTTTCAGGTTTACAGCCCCGTAAACCCAGCACCAGCCTAGTGATTAGAGTATTGCTGACAGTCCCTCGCTGTGCATCCCATGACTGTTATGTAAGCAGCAGGGACTTGTCCGGCCCTACCTGGGCCTCAGCTGCTTGTTGGATGTTGGGGTGACATCTGCATTTACACCAGCTCAGATTCCTCAAGGTTGGGGGCGGAGCACACTGCCTGTGAGGCTGCTGGAGGAGAGACCCCTCCATAGGCCTGGGCGCCCCACCCTGACCTAGTGGCCTTTTAGGTAACCCCCAAGCCCGTGCTCTGGGCGCTCCTGCTGGCGCTGCTAGGAACCGCGCTCCCCGCCCAGCCCCGCGCCTGCAGTGTCCCCGACGTGCTGCGCCACTACCAGGCTGTCATCTTGGAGGACCTGCAGGCCGCAGCGAGGCGGGCAGGGCCGGGGGACGCAGGGGACGGGCCAGGCTCCAGACATCTCCATTTCGTTCAGAAAAACCAGACTGACGCCGTGGCCCCTGGACGGCGGGGTCGGGTGGGGCCCTCCTGTGGCGCCCAGAAGGTGAGAGGCCCCGCCCACGCCCTCCAGCCTCCTTCCTGGCGTTTCCCATCGGGCTCTGCCCCCAGCCCCGCCATTTCCTCCCTTTCCTCCCAGGAGCACAGTATTCTAGTGTCCATCGCGGCCCTGGGGCGGGCCCTGCGTGGAGCGGTGGCTGGGGACCCCCGCGGGGCCCTGGAGAGAGCTGCCTGGACCGTGGCCCTGCGCACCGAGGCGGTGATGCGGCGCCACTGCCGGCCGCTGCGCCAGGTGCGCGCCCGTCCCCGAGCGTGTGCGCGTCTAGGCCCCGGGCCATCCCATGACCTGGGCTTCACAGTGGCCCCGACCGGCTGGGCGTGAGCTGGGGGGGCGGGGGGGGGGCTCCCGGGTTGTGCACACGTGCTGACCGCCCCTTCCCGACAGCGGAGCCGCCGGGGCTGGTGGGCTCGGCCGCGCCCTCAGCGGCATCGCGGCAGGCGGAGGCGGCTCCTGCTGCGAGCCCTGGACGCCGTCGCCACCTGCTGGGAGAAGCTCTTCGCCCTGCGAGCCTTGGGCAGCCGCGGCCCCTAGCTCGCCCTGCCAGGGGCCTTGGGATGAGTCTCGTTTGGTGACCACCGAGGGCTCCGTGCTGACCTGGCTGACCATTGAGTCCCACCCAGGTCTCATCCTGACCCCTGTTCACCCGAGGGCGCGGGACCTGGAGGTGTGAGCACTGTTCGGTACCAGGCTGCCCTGCACACACCGAGAGAGGCCTCAATAAACAGCTGGTGTTGCCAGTCCGGTTCTTGTTCCCTTCGCCTGCTAGCTTTTTTTTTTGGGGGGGGGGGGGGCTCTGCTTCTTGGTTGGGAGTGGGCGCTGGGGGCACCGACTGTTGGGGAACCTGCGGTACACTTCCTTTACACCTGGGCACGCGCCGCCCTCCCGACCTCGGGCAGCAGGGGGCAGCTTCCAACGCTGGACCCTGGCTCCGTCGGCGGCTTTAGGCTGGGGTGGAGGGGACTCCTGCAGGCGCTGCAACATGTTGTGTCCGTGGGCTTCCCTCTGGAGCGGGGGAGGGGAGGGGAAGGCTGGGCTTTGTGAATTCACAGCAAAACAGCCGGATAAAGGAAACGGGCCTGAAGGGAAGCCAGAGTCGCTGGCCCTGGCTGCAAGCGGGGCCAGGCCATTTCCTGCGGCCCTGGGAGGGGTGGCTGTGGCCCCCTTTGTGGGACTGGACAGGCTGGCCAGAGACCCACTGTCTCATACCTTGGAGACCCTGCGTTTCTTGGCCGAGTGGGGCACCAATCCCTGCTTCCCCCCTCGGGACTGCATGGCCCTGGGGTCTGTGTCCCCTCCCAAGTCCAGCCTGTGGCCAAGGGGGGATCCGGCAGGCAAGGCCACTGGCTAAGGCGGATGCTTCTCCAGAGACAGCGGCACCGGAGGCCTCAAAGCAGGCCCTGCCTCAGGTCCTGGCAGAGCCGAGGCAGGAGGCGCAGGAAGGCCTTCGGGGGGCAGCCATGGGCGTGACCATCGCAGCATGGCCGACCCTGCCCGGCGCTCACTGTGTTAACACATTGAGTCTGTGCAGCAGGAACTAGTGTCCATTTTCTAGGTGAGCAAACTGAGGCACCAGGTCGGGACTTGCCCCAGGGCACATGCCAGGAAGTGTAAGAGCTAGGGCAAGGCCAGCGGGAGGGTGGTCCCTGAATGTGCCCTTGGGCAGCGGGAGAGCCAGGCTCCTGGCTCAGTGCTCAGCCTCAGCTCACTCCTAAGTCCTGATCAAGGGAGACCCCAGTGCGAGGGGTGGGGGTGGGGGGGCTTTGTGGTTGAGGCTGAAGGAATAGGCTGGGACATGAACGGGTCGATGGAGGTCCAGGCAACCAGAGGGTCCTGGCCTGAGCACCTGGGTGTGTCCTCTTGAACTTGGGGGACACTGATGAGGGGAGCAAACCTGTGTTGGATGGAGCAGTCCCATCCCGGGGCTCCTGCTGTGTGGGCCCTGAGGGGCCCAGTATTCAGGTAGGGGAACAGGTCCAATTTGGTTGGAGCCTAAGACATGGGGTCGCTGAGTTGGGGCTGAAGAAGGTTCTTAGCGTCAGTGCAGGGGCAGGAGGAGAGCAGGCCCTCCAAGGAGGCCCCCACTAGGCTCCTGTCTTTCCCAGGCAGCCAGCTCCCAGCACTTGGACCTGCCCCAGGCCTGGGGCCATGGGGAGAGCATGCCTGGCATGGCCTCCAGGCACTCATGGCTGCTGCCCACCCACCATGCTCTTTTCCTGCTGCCTTGGAAGTGGGTGGTAACAGGCAGTCCCTTCATCCACCCATGTGGTTCACACAAACCACAGCCTGGGGGGCTGGCGGGGGGGAAGCAGAGGTCTTAGAGTTTTAAGGACACAACCCCCACCCAAGTCCTGGGCCACGACCACATGAGTGGGTGAGATGCCCCCACTCCCTGGCCCCACCTGGTAGTGTGTGTGTCTGTGTCAGTGTGCACACAGGTGTGTGCTGAGGGGCTACCTTTGAGTGTGTACATAGAGGTGCGTGTGCAACACAGTCCAGGCTCCTGCCTCCCCCTCCCCCTGCCCAGCAAGCTCCCCTCTCTGAGGCCCTCCCGGTCTAGTCTGTCCTGGCAAATTGAATGCCCGGGGTGCGGGCATTGGAGGCCTCTGGTCTGAGCCAGCAGAACACAGAGCTCCCATGATCTTGCTCCTGCAGCGCCCTCACCCACCCCCTTCCATCCTCTGACCTTTCTCTTGAGGCCTCAGACATGCCAACCCCTGGATGATGGGCCAGTATTGTGGGTGTGGGGGACCCGGGCCCTGTCCCCTCACCTTAGAAGCCATCTGGCCTGCCTAGTATGGCTCAGTGGTTGGGCGTCGACCTATGAACCAGGAGGTCAGGGTTCAATTCCTGGTCAGGGCACATGCCCAGGTGTGGGGTGTGCAGGAGGCAGCTGATCAATGATTCTCTCTTATCATTGATGTTTCTTTCTCTCCCTCCCTCTCCCTTCCTCTCTAAGATCAATAAAAATTAAAAACAAAAAAACAATGATAGATTGTTCATGATTTAAAAAAAAACTATCTGTATCCTAAGACTGCTGTAAAAAATCACCACAAACTAGTTGGCTTAGAACAGTAGATGTTTCTTTCCTTACGATTCCAGAAGCCAGAGTCCAAAATCAGTGTCACTGGCCTGAAATCAAGGTATCTGGGGCCCTGCTCCCTCCAGGGCCACAGGAGGGCCCCTTCCTGCTTCGCAGCTTCTGGCGGCCTAGGTCTCCGCAGGGCCACACCTGCCAAGACCCTTTTTCTACATAAGGTGCCACTCACAACTTCTGGGTGTGGACATACGTCTTTTGGAGGTCAGGGTAGGCTTCTGGCTTTTGGGACAAACATCATTTGGGCTGAGTGGGGGCAGGTACAGAGCCACACGGCTGCTGAGACAGATTAGAGGGAGAGCCGGGTGCCCGTCCAGACCCCAAGGTGCTGGCTGTTCTTCAGGCCTGGCACTGGGACCCCCTCCGTGTGTTGCTCAAAACAGCACACGAGCGCTCAGTAAATGCACTGGCTGGGACTGACCAGCGCGGGCAGAGCTGGAGCGAGACTGGACCACAGGGACAGGGGCACTGGCTCAGTGCACGGGCCTCGTGTCCACGTGTCTGCCAGGTATGCACTGCCCTCCCTGCTGAGGCCCTGGGCCTGTGGCTTGAGCCTGGTTCTCTCAATGTAAAACCAAACCGTTTTCTGTGGCTCACACATGGTGGGGTCAGGGCTGGGCCCAGTGGCGTCCTGCCCCACACTCGTGCCTTCTCAGCTGCTTCCAGGAGGCGGGGGCTGGGGCACAGAGGAGGGCTGAGCAGCGGCAGATGGGGCTGCAGGGCACTGGCCAGGGTTGTGCAACTTCCCAAAGCAGGGAGCCAGGCCCCCACACAGCGCCAAGGAAGGCCAGGCTGACTTTGAAGAGTAGCTGTCCCGCGGACTCCCCAGACTGCGAGCTTTTGAAAGAACATCTGGAACCTGGGCCATCCGCAAACTAGTCTCTGGGTTAGAAACACCAAAGTTAGTCCTGACTTTGCCACTGTGTGTTCCACACCCCCACCTCTGCCCCTTCCCACGCTGCCAACAGGCCCAGGGGTGGGGTATGAGCCCTTCCCTGGGGTCCTCTCATGGGCTCTGGCAGCACCTCCCCCCGTGTCCCCTGCCCCACTGGCCACCCCCAGCCTGACATGCAGTTTTGGGTTCATGGAGCCACAGCTGCCCAACATCTGTGCTGGGTGCTGAGGACTGGGCCGTGTCCGAGCGGGAGCCGGAGGAAGCACCTGCAGGGAGACCCGGGCACGGCCTGCCAGCAAGGGCCCTGGCGTGCGAGCCTGAGCTGGACCCTTGGTCCTGCAGGTGTGCAAGGAGGCTGCCTGCTCCAGCTGGGCTGCGGGAACAAACAAGACCCCACTCCAGGAAGCAAGGCAAACGCTGCTTGTGGGGGTGCCAGGTGCTGCAGCCCATTGTCCTTGCCAGTGGCCTGTGGGACCCTGGGGAGTGCTCAGCGACAGTCTCCATCCTGCCCCCTCCCTAGCAAAGACCCAGCTTTGTCAGCACAGAAACAAATGGCCTTCTACCCTCCAATTACCCCCAGAGCCGCAGGGAGCCCTGCCGGGGGAGCCGTCCTGGGGAGGGAAACGGGCGTCAGGCCCTGTGTGCTGTGGGGGAGGGCGTCCCTGCGTCGGACGCTGGCCCCTGGGCACCTCCGGCCCGCGCTGCTCTCAGCGCGTTGGGAGTCTCTCCGGCGGGTGGAGAGGCGCAGCCTGACTCAGGGACTCGCCATCATCGCCCAGTGTGACGGTGGTGCCCGGGGCTGGCGCGGGCAGGGCACCCCAGGGTCCGCCCCTGCCTGCCGCTCCCCTTGCCCCTGCCCGGCCTGCGCAGGGCGAGCGGCCAGGGGTCCGGCTGCGGCCCCAGATAAGCCCGCGCCGCTTCCTGCGCTTCCTCCCAGCGCCGCGCGCCCCTTCCTGTTTCCTTGAGCGGCGGCGGCGGGGGGCAGGTCGTGGGGACTGGGCGGGGCCGTGGGGCCGGCCGGCTCCTGGGAACGGCGGCCGGTCCGGTCCGTGGGGACAGGGTCCTGGGCACCGGGTGGGGCCCGGGAGGGCAGGAGCCGCCTCGGCGCTTCCCCAGGAGGCCCTGACGGTGGCCGGCGGAAGCGGAGGGGGGGGGCGGGGGGGACTGTGGCTGAAACAGAAGAGGAGGCACCTCGGTGCCCCACACCCTCCCCCCAGGCCTGGGCCAGGCCTCCCACACACGGGACCAAAACCCTCGTGGACTGGGCGGCACCTGCTCCCGGAGCCCCGCCCGGGCCTGCGGCAGGCATGGGGTGGGCCTTGGTTGTGGGGGACGATGGAATCGGAGCTCAGAGGCTCTGGACCCCCTTTGGGGGCAGCTGCTCTAGCATACGGATTTAAGGTGCTTCATCTACTTGCTCAGGCCTGTTCATCAGATACAAATGTCTGTCATTTTAACAGACACATCCACACACAATGTGCACAGCATTATTCACAATAGCCAGGACACCAGTCAACCCACGCGTCCATCACTGATGAACCAAGAAATCAATGTGGTCTGTCCATACGGAATATTGTTCAGCCTTAAAAAGGAATGAGGCTGGAAGGTGTGGCTCAGTGGTTGAGCAACGACCTATGAACCAGGAGGTCACAGTTAGATTCCCAGTCAGGCCACATACCTGGGTTGCAGGTTCAATACCCAGAGTGGGTGTGCAGGAGGTAGCTGATCCATAATTCTCTCTCATCATTGATGTTTCTCTCTC